TGGTACAGTCCGGCCCGGAGCAACTACCCCTCCGAGAATTCCCCCCTAGCGGAGAGGGTAGTGCGCTGTAGGATGGCGCTAGCCAGGGTTACAGGTTCGAATCCGCTGTTCCCCCAAGTAGTGATGAGATGGCTCGTAGGGTAGATACGCGTAGGGAGGGGCCTTGCTGTGTGATTAAAAAGTGTGTGCTGCGAGAGGCTATAATGTAGAAAAAGCTGCATACAGAGGCTGACCAGATAGCAAGGATGGGGGTAATAGGAGCCTATATAACCCTGGGTCTTAAACATTTTTTACTGGTGACCTCTTTCACACAGCAAGCCTTTGGGTGCCACCCCCCATAAATTAAACACACCTTTAAATATATTTAACACTATTATAAATGCTGGAGGCAAACAGGTTTTGGGGTAGAGGTTGACAGCTCACAATCCCCAATGTAATAACCTCACAACCCCCTGAGGAGTCTCAACCCCCAGTTTGAGAACCCCTGCTATATAAGAAAAAGCCTCAAATATTGGGACTGTCCCTATAAAATCAGGACATCTGGTCACCCTATGCATACATGACCTTGCATAAAGTGATAGGTGCCCAGGTAAAGCACGCCCGCTGGCTGCTCAATGCTTCACTTCGCAACCATAATTTTCCTACTTTGCCTTATACAGAGCACCTTTATAATAAACCCTATTCTAGGTCACACCTTCCTTAATGTGATACATTTCATCAAGCACTTACATATATGGTATGCTTTTAAATGCTGTAGTGTCTTCAGAAGCATCAAGATACCGCCCTTTTAGTGCTTTTAAAAGTTATGATGGCAGTTAAAGTTGTATTCCGTTTTGCACATAAAGGAATCCGAAGTGCTTTGCTTTATGTGAAAAACAGTTTACCACAACTTTTCAGCTGGTAACCTCTGCAGAAAGCTTGCATTTTCTGAGGTGTTCAAGAAAAGCAGTTGATTAGTTTCTGAGTTCTAATCAATTAAAAATGGCCAAAACAAAGTTCACCCTCAGTGTCATGATTTTTCAGGCTCCTCTAGCGTAAAAACTATAATCTGTAGAAAGTAATAAAAAAAAAGTATCTAGTGAGAGTTTGATGGGTTCTCCAAAGTTATGTAATTGTTAAGTAAAAATAGTGAAAAAACCTAGAGATTGACATTATCATTGATGGTTTACATCACAGTTAGCAGATTGAGACCATGATTAGATGTTTTTAGGAGAGGGAGACCATGATTTATGTCCTGGCTGAGCACGGCTGCTGAAGTGGCTGAACAGTTTCAGGACTACTGGGATGCTCTCTAGACTACTAGTAACTGTTCCCTTGTGGAGCTCCATGAAGCTGTTTAGCAGGTTCATCACAAATGTGACTCTTGAACTGGTTAAACAGTTTCAT